CATAATTGCCTTTAAGGAAAGGAGATTGTCTTTGGTGGGCCTGGCCTAATCAGGTGAACTCTTAAAAGGAACTTGTGTCTTCCTGAAGAAATTTGAGGTATGGGAGTGACTCAACCCAACAGAGATTCTCCGTTGATAGATTTAAAGATGGAGGAAGCCATGGAAAATAGCAACTAGTATCAGAAAGTCAGCAAGAAATCAAGGATTTCAGTCCTCCATCTATAAAGATCTGAATTCTATCAACAACCTGAATGAGTTTGGAAGTGGGTCCTTATCCAAAGCCTTCAGGCGAGAACTCAGCCTAACTGATACCTTTAGCATCACATCCTGAGCAGAGAACCCAACTGAGCTGTGCTGGACTTCTGATCTACTGAACTGAGAGCTAAACAGTGAGTGTTGTTTTGAGTCTCTACATCAGGCGTCCCCAGACTTTTTACACAGGGGGCCAGTTCACTGTCCCTCAGACCATTGGAGAGCCACCACATACTGTGCTCCTTTCACTGACCACCAATGAAAGAGGTGCCCTTTCCTGAAGTGCGGCGGGGGGCCGGATAAATGGCCTCAGGGGGCCGCATGCGGCCCGTGGGCCGTCGTTTGGGGACGCCTGCTCTACATGTATGGCAATTTGTTATGCAGCAACAGCAAACAAATAAATGAAAACAATACTATTCCAGTTAAATGTGGCTTAGGAATTTTTAAGAAGAAGTATTTTCCTATGCCTCTTTTCTTCTTGCGTTTCTCCAAAGCCTTAAATCTTTTTCCTCACTGTGCAGTTATTTCATTGAATATAACTAGAAAATGCCATTTTGTCAGATTAAAATCTTCTCTCATATCACATCACTTAGCTTCCCCCCAAACTCTCATAGTTGATTTGAGATGCCAGAGATGCCTGAATCTTGGCTATATTATATACATGTTTTAGGGCTGGAGATTCGAACCAGAAAACACAGATTTCAAGAATTAAAGCAAAAAATCTGTTTATTTTGAACTAATTCAGATATGTTTCACTTGTTACATCTAGTACTACTCTTGAACAGTAACCTTGACATAATGGTTGAAGAAGGAGAAGCAATGTAAGCATAAACGGCTGAACATTTTAATATCTTTTATCAATAAACATTACTAGAATGCCATGCATTTGAATCCATGCTTTTTCTGAGGAAAACCTGCATTTTATCTTCTGCTTCCTGATATCACAGCTGGATCTTATTACAAGGGTAGGATGCACCATGGGAAGCATGCCTAAACTTTTTAAACTACAAAAGGAAAGCTGATCTTCATTAATTAGATGTCTAGATTATGCAGACTGACCACTGTATTATTAGTTATAACATGGTGAAAAACACTATTATATGGCTTGTTGATAGCTCCACCTAGGTAATTTAGTGAAGCATTTGCTAAGATATTCTATTAACCACAAAGGCAGGATTTGGTGTCAGGTCAAAAAATCAGATCAAACTGTGACTTTGTGGTTGATGGTTCAGAGAATGCTCTACAACAAAGGGAATTGAGAACGCAGTATGATGTCTTTCTAACATTTAATTCAGGAAAAATGTCATCTCCAGCACAGCTTAACATAGTGCTACTACATAATGCAAGATAAGTGAAAATATTAACAAGTCAATGATTCATAACTAAGACTCTCCGTATAAAACCCTTCTCTGTCTTTATGAAAACCATGGATTTGGATTAAAAGAGAGGCCACCTAATTTTAGATTTAAGCAAATGTGAACAATGGGTTTGAGAATGAAGGGTAAGTCTGTGGATCACAAACCGTCACCTGAATAACGATTAGCTCTTTAAATAAAAAGAAGGAAATCAAGAAAAAAATATTTAAAAGCCATAATCTAGAAGAACTGCAAATTATGGGAAACCAGGTAAATCATGACTTAGCTTTTACCAACTTTATCCAAAGTCTTCCCAGGTGACTAGAGTCAGGGCTAAAGAAAAGGTATTACAAAGCTATTATATTAAGTAATTATAATTTTGTCTGCTTCAACTTCTTATACCTGTGTCTTTGTCATGTATATAATTATGCTAAGGGAAAACACCCTAGGTTCAAATGAAATGAAAGATTTCACTTTATGCCCACACGGACCTTGTCAAGTAGCCAATGACTTGCCCTTTCAATGTGAGTGACTAATATCAATGCTGACTCTAAAGAAAGACACTTTTCATAATCGCCCAACAATCTGCTAAGTGAAAACATGTGGATAGGCTTAGGGAAAGCCTGTCAGGGGTCTTGGCGGAATGGAAAACAGGTGCTCTCATTCTGTGCCACGTAATACCCCATTTACCCCCAAGTCCAAAGGTTATAGGACTAATAGCTGCCTTGTGGTGATCAGGGAAAGCCAAGACACTAGCCCTGGTGAAACATCTGGGACATATTTTACATACTTCCAACATATGCTTCAGGTTCAATTAAAGTGAGGCTTTGGCACATTTATTAATCTTTTTTACTTTTATCCTATAAGAGGACCCACTGACCTGACCTTACTATTATACCATATGAGAAAACAGAAATAATGAGAGCTAGAGGTCAGTACCTGCTCGTATGGCAAAGAACACATTTGTTTTCTCATGAAATTCCATTACCCATGACTCTATACACAAACTTTAAATAGAGGAACCAACGAATTTTTTAAAGTAGGAAATTACCCTTCTCCCACTCAGACACACTGATAGCCAAGACTGAACATTTACTGCTGCGAGAGCCAGTCGAGATGGAAGACGGTAAATGGAACCTTGCAGGATCCTTTCATATTTCCATTTCTAATAGGAAAAACTATATTTCAAGACGTCCACTCTAAGATTCTTCCCTCCATTATGCAAGCACTTAAAAGTGTATTGTAAATTACTACATTTGAGATTTTATTCAGATACAATTTTTATGCTATCAATTACATTATGAGTAAAAAAGAAAAACCTCCTTTTTATCACTCAAATAAAAGGGTTGAATTTATGAAAATCAGCTCACAATCCTTTCACATGGAAAACACACAGCTTGTCGGTATTCTGTATAGAAGAATACAGTTGAATTCACACTGTAATTTAAGCACTCACTTTCAGTCAACTTTGGTAACTAGATCTGAAAATGTGTTAGAAGCAGGGTGTCAATTTCCGACTACCAAACACTAGATTACAAGAGATGTTACTCCAGAGATCTGGTGTTGTTTTCCTCTGGCATGTTCCACTTGACATCTATGTTTTGGTGAGCTGGTTAACCAGGTGTGTCTATTTCCCATACCTAACATCCTCTCCACTAAAAATGGCCATAAAAAGGGGAGAGATTAGAAGTATAGAATATCAACAAACTGGCTAAGAACATATCGGTTGACTTCAAGCAGGGACATTAAGTACTAGACTTCACTAAGGTTTCCATTTATTAACATTTCTGGGGAAACGCCTGCTGCTGGCCTGGATCTTTATGGTGGCTTTAATAATAAAGCAGCAACAAGCAAGAGAAAATGGCCATAAATGGATGGCAGCTCAGTGTTTATCAGCAGAGAAATGATGATTCAGAGCTGGCATGTTGAGTTAAAATACAAGCTCTCTACCGCTCTACAACTGACCTTAGCAATAAATCATATCATTTATTGCCAGAAGTGTATGCTCATGTTATTTAACATTAAAAACAAGCACATATGTGTTTTTCCAGGAAGGAGATTTTGTTAATGTTTGATGATGTTGCTAATGACTAAATGATATACAGAAGAAAAATTTCACATAAAAGCGCTGTCGATTTAAAAATGTTTGAAATAGCATTAGAAGGGAGAAAGCGTGTGTGTGTCTCTCTCTCTCTCTCTCTCTCTCTCTGTGTGTGTGTGTGTGTGTGTGTGTGTGTATGTGTGTGGTGTGTTTCCGTTTTCCTTCAAGCACTGAATATTAGGAAAAAAATCATGTGGAGAGTAAACCAGTGAATTTTTTTTTTGACATTTCTAATGCATGCTTCCAACATACAAATTATTTTATTTTTGGAGACACAGCCTTCGGTGGCTCACAAATTCTTACACTGGGATTTAACTGTACATCTCTGTTGGAATCAAAGGTCAAGAGCATAAATTAAAATATACTGTTTTCCTCCTTTCTTCAAAAAAATTTCACTGCTTTACTAATAACGTACGTCAGATTCTGGTGAAGGTAAAAAAAATCTGGTTCTACATGTCAAACAATGTGGAAATAACTAACGATTTTCTCTCCCCGCCTCCCAATCTCACCCTAGGACTTTTTAGATTTTAGGTCTGAAAATATAACAGCATCTCTATCCTTCTTGCCATAGAAAGCAGCAGTTCCAACACCAGCCACTGCTGCAGTGGTGCAAGGTCATTCTAATTCCTACCTCCAGTTGTCCCCTCTCCCTAGGGGACAACCAATCCAACCAGAAACTGGCTGTTATTTACTGTGGTCACCATCCCCAAACCAACCAGCGATTGAATATAAGCCTCTCTGAATGGGCTTTCCTGATGCAGAAACCATGGGGACATTCCAAACCTAGGAAAAGGCAGTGCTCACTGGGGTTATTTAAATGTCCTCTGGAGCACTCTGCACATTCATGTCCTTTTGCTGAGCAATTGTTCAAAACCTACAGATGACAATATCCATGTTCAACTCATGCAGGCTGATATTTTTTCACTCTCCTCTTCCCCCAAAGCAAAGCCCGATTTGTAATACTCAAGATAGGACAAATTTTTGCCCTTCAAAAACAGTCATCACTGCTGTTATCTTCACAAGAGCTATCAAGTTCCAGACAAGCTGAATTATTTATTTATTTTTTTCGTTCCTGGCAGAAAAATATTTGACCCAGCTCTGGACAAAAGCGAAGAGGATTTATAGCCTTCTCTCCCTCTTTGCAACATGCAGTGGCATTGTTAGGATGATAAACAGCACTGTCCAATTTTCTGGACTCAAACACTTCAACTCTTTTTTTAACTGTCTGTGAAAACAGTGTCATGTCTACATTTCCCATCCCCAGGTACCCAAGTGCTGGGAAAGATAATTACCTTGTCATCTTTGTCATCTTCTTCTTCCTCGTCCTCTAGCATGTCCTCCACTACCTGCAGACAGAAACAGAAGTCGTTTTTTGTGCCCTTAAAGGAGAGAATTTTGTTCTGTCATTTTGAACCTTTTGGAAATGAAAACTTTATTAACATTTGAAACAGGCACACTGAGAGAGAATATTTGATCTAAAGATAGTTATTAGGAAAAGGCTCTGCCTTTAATTGGTTAAAACCAGGGAACTGAATCCCAGTTAGGGAAACCAGATTTATGTGAAATGTTCTGTGACAACTTAAAGAATTTGAAATATGCATAAGGTAAACCAACATTAATTTGGAGGATGCTTTAAATCAGGAAATTTCCCTTCTACCAATTCTGCTGTCTGTATTAATCAGGCACTTTAAATTTAGAACTAGATAACTAAGCATGAAACAGCTCTGCTATTTCTAATTTACTTTTCACCAAACTCTAAGATTAAAAAACCATGTCTGTTAATTGATTCATGCTAGTGGTCTATGGCATAAAACTAACAATATATTTTATGGCTCAAATTTTAATTCCTATATATAAATGTCAAGTCTTGCCTCTCTTAGTTTTTGATCTTGTGGACTACCCAAAACTCTCATTTTAATTCTCTGTGATTGCACATAAGAATTATGAGAATGTATACTGTTAAATGAAAATTAAAAATAATCCATAATTACATGAGTATAGTGTGTGAAACTCATGTAGGTGGATATGCACACATGTCTTTTTTAATGGCTATTTAGCCTACCTCAGCAGAATGGAATAACTTTTGCCAAAAGATTTGCCAAATAACTTCCCTTTGCCTTGATCAACATATAACTGTAGGCATTCAGAATGGGACTTCACTCCATTTCAGATTTTTAAAAATGGTTTTACACACTTCACAAACATACACAAATGCACTCCATGGAAACTTACAATTTAAGAAACCTTGGAAGGAGTGTTATTATTCAGGTAAGACCCAACTTATTGTGTTTATGACATTTGATATATTTTTAAATTTCTGTGTTTTTTTTTTTTCTGATCATCCCGTGTCTCTGAATAGACTCAACAGAATCATGGTGATCAAATATTTTAAAACTTTTCTCCCAAAGTCCATAACTTCAGAGGACAGAGACATCTAGCCCTCCTTTCCTGTGGGTTTATTTTTTCCTGATACAAACAGGAACATTCTATGAGTGAACACTTTAATATCCAAGATTGTACTATGAAAAGTTACATAAACTGAGATAATGTATCAGAATTCTGTTATTCCTAATAATTTTTTCTCAAATATTCTAAAAGCATTAACTGATTTAACAGCATAACCCAAACACAAACCTCTAGGTCTCACGAATGAATGTGCAATGAAAGCATCTGACAACCTGTGAGACTGTTCCTCATTTAACATCATGCTTTAAATTTTCTGTTAAATGATAGGATTTTGAGGTCTTTCGTTTGGACATTCAGCATTTCAAAAGAATCACAGTAGTGCAATATGCAGTTTTGTATATCTGATGGGAGCTTACACTGACTTCGGAGACATAGAAAGCAATGAAGCTTCAACAAGAAAGATGGACTTCTGACAGTCTTTCTAACTATATTCAGCTACTCCACAGCATGTATTATAAAACCCCTTTGTCCAAGGCATATGGTGCTAGGTAATGTGAGAACACACAGATAACCCACAAATACTTCCTCTTTACTCCTATCAGCCTTCAAATGGCTTATAATCCAGTAAAATTTAAACAGGGTTGATCAGATAAACTTTCATGTTAACTTTTAATTTCCTCACATTTAAAGTATTCACATCACAAATATACAGACAATAATGACAATATATATTTGAAGTGATATATGCCAGGCAATTCCAAATTGGGATATTTGTGAGGGACGTTTAAGATGGAATAGAAGCTATATTGGTACATTGTGTTGCATCAGAAGAATTCACCTAACCCTTGTTAGATTTTCTTAAATGATGATTATTTTGTACCTCTAATAAAATTATCTCTTAAATTTAGATTTAAATGAAGTAATTTTTTTTGCTGAAATTACCCATGCAGATTCATATCAAATATATCACAGAAAATGAGATGAATACTATTCTTTTATTCCTATGAATAAACTCAGTATTATAGATTGTCATAATTAAGACTGTATAAAATATGCCTCCTCCCTGCAGTACTTACTATCACACTTCAGGTGCTATGAAGGCAGAATGGTAGTGGGCTGTGCCTAGAAGACTGTCAGGAACATAACAGGTGTGCAAGAAATATTTGTTGATTGAGTGAATATGTGAATGTATCATCTATTCTTCATATCATTTAACATACTTTTGGGTAAAGTGCCTATCATTTATCCCACAGAACTGACTTATTCACCTGGAAGGACTTATATCTAATCAATGATGCAGATTTATAAAAGTGAATATTCAAAATGCTTTCAAACATTTGCCTGGAAATAGAAACCAGGAATATTTAACCATTAAGGTTGGAGGACCTTCACTATCTTCAAATTAATTTTCAAAAATTCAAAATCAGATTAAACCATAAATAAGCCAGTAGCTTAATTTACACATTTTACAAACCGGCTGTGGATCTTATGTTCAAGTATGACTCAAAGAGGTCTACAGAATCAGGCTCTTCATTTGCAAAACCCAAACTGTTCTTACCCTGTACAAGTGGGTGATTGGCTACGCACAATTGCTCCACAAATGTGCAGCCAGAACCACCCAATACAACCATTTGCTTTTACATTTGGCAGAAAAGTGTTGTGTTAGCGAGAGGCCTTTTTACTGTGTTTTAGCGCTCTAGTGAGGGCTTTTCCCCTCCTCCAGTGCCTTTTTAAAGTTACATCATAAACATCTACAAGTGAGGATTTATAATACAGATGGTTTCCTATTGATGCCTTTAAGCTGCTTCAGAACATAACCCACTATTGCATTTTTGCTCAGGTGAAGCTGAAGGTGCCTTAAAAATGGAGATGATAATAGCACCTATCTCACAGTGTTGATTAAGGATCCAATAAGATAATGCACAGAAGTGCTTAATACAGTGCCTATACCAAAGTAGGTACTCAAAAATGTTAGCTCTTAATAAAAATGTCAACTTAATATTTTAAATATTAATTTTTGGAGTTAAATACTATATTTTTTCCTGGACAAAATATTCTGTGCTCTTAATGACACAAAATTCTGATTCATGTTTTCACTGGCCCTAAGAAACAGAGGGGGTACAGGTAGAAGTGTGGATAAAGATTCCAAATTAAAATGATGATGCTTTCACAACTAATTTTCAGGCTTTAATGGTCCAGTGAAATGGATGACTTTGAGGACAAGAGTGTCTGAGAAGCTGAGCTGTGCTTTAAGACATGAGCTCTAGCCAAATGCAATGAACATCGAAACTGCAAACTGAGCTTTTAAAAACAAACTGTATATATCACTGAAGTGCATTTAATGACTGCACAAAATTGCAGCCCATCCCAGAGAAATCAAATAACACCTGCTATTTAGGATGAGAGTGCTGGAGTTTAACACTTAACTAAGGAAAACAAAAGAAAGGAGTCTTGCTATCAAATTCTAGCTCTTTCCTCTTCAAATAAAGCCAAATAAGCACTACACGGTTTTGTTTTCAAGTATACAAAGTCCACTTGCCAAAATAGTTGTCAGCAATAATTTAATAACATAGACTATACACAGGATTTCCTTGAAAAGTAATAAATGAAGAGTGACAAAAAATTCATGTAGTAAAAAAGATACATTTATGAAGTTCGTTTTTTTTCTCTTTTTTCTTAAGGGGGAATATCTCAGATCGGCTCTAGAATTCTCTTTCCAAATTATGCTTTCTGATACCTTGCTTGAAAGCAAGTAGTATTAATCAAACAAAGGAAGGGCACTAGGGAAATCAGAAAGATGTAATGCAAGCAGTTAAAAGTGACATGACCTTCTGTAATGTCGCTCGTCACAGACTTATATGCCACACACTGGAGGAAGGTCTTGAAAGAAACTGATTCTTGGTACTATTCCTTGAATGTAATACTAATAAAGATGACATTTAAAAAAACACACATAGACAGCCCCAAATGCAGCATGCCAGCTAGACTGCAGCCAGAGAATAAGTAGATAACATTATTTTTAAAAGCATATTTCTTCCTCCATATTCAATATTTGCTGAACATTTGTCATTAACATAAAATACAATATGTGGCTATACATTTAAAATGTACATTTCCAAAATGAAACAGCATTGGATCCATAGACCATATATTCTACATGATTGTGAAGGAGCTCTTTTACTATTACAAGGCTTTTAATTGCAATCCAACAAAACAACATAACACTTTTTGATTTGCAAGGAAAATGTTATTTGACTGAAATGTTAATAGTGATGTTGATAATCTGAATAAAAACGTGACATGTTGGTATTATTCTACCAGATCGAAAATATATAAGGGAGGTGACCAGAAGGATGCAGTAACAGGACCAATGATGAATGGATGAGGAAAAGTGGGTTCAGGTAAACTTCATTACCAAAATCATTATGCGACAGTGGGTACTACTTATTGCTTTTAAACACCAATTTAAGGTGCACGTTGAAAATTAGTATGACAAGAGGGGGTTAAAAGGCCCATGAATTACTTTAAAAACACTTCATATTATACTTTTCCCATGAGTAAATTCTTCCACTCATTTAAATCCCTTCGAACAAAAAGGAAGGGAAGAATCTTCGTTATGTTAACCTTGGAAGGATTGAGTATTCTGCAGCCAAAACCTTTCGAAAGCCAATGCTGATACAAACCAGTTTCTTTTGTGTGTTTACTTCTTTTCCTTGGAAATAGTCTTTGAATTAAATGGATGTTTTGCTATGTTCAAAATGAGTAGCTGCACAACTCAAATTGCTTTACTCAAATATGGTCTCCAAAAATGCAACACATTTACACATTTAAAGAATAAATCACTGCTGTCCAGATGTGCAACCATGTTAAAATATTAAAGAAAACTGACACAAAAGAAGTTTCATATTTAGTTTCATATTCATAGACCATCCAAACTTGT